CGAACGGGCTCGTGAGATCAGCCAGGGTGGCTCCCCCTTGGGGCTCCCAAATGATGCCCCTGGCAGCGTTTTGTGACCATGAGGCTCTCAAGAGATACATGTTGGGGAGGCCAAACGGCAATTCTAGCTGAGGCGTCCCACCAAAATCGGCGCGAACGGGCTCGTGAGATCAGCCAGGGTGGCTCCCCCTTGGGGCTCCCAAATGATGCCCCTGGCAGCGTTTTGTGACCATGAGGCTCTCAAGAGATACATGTTGGGGGCGCCAAACGGCAATTCTAGCTGAGACGTCCCACCAAAATCGGCGCGAACGGGCTCGTGAGATCAGCCAGGGTGGCTCCCCCTTGGGGCTCCCGAATGATGCCCCTGGCAGCGTTTTGTGACCATGAGGCTCTCAAGAGATACATGTTGGGGGCGCCAAACGGCAATTCTAGCTGAGACGTCCCACCAAAATCGGCGCGAACGGGCTCGTGAGATCAGCCAGGGTGGCTCCCCCTTGGGGCTCCCAAATGATGCCCCTGGCAGCGTTTTGCGACCATGAGGCTCTCAAGAGATACATGTTGGGGGCGCCAAACGGCAATTCTAGCTGAGACGTCCCACCAAAATCGGCGCGAACGGGCTCGTGAGATCAGCCAGGGTGGCTCCCCCTTGGGGCTCCCAAATGATGCCCCTGGCAGCGTTTTGTGACCATGAGGCTCTCAAGAGATACATGTTGGGGGCGCCAAACGGCAATTCTAGCTGAGACGTCCCACCAAAATCGGCGCGAACGGGCTCGTGAGATCAGCCAGGGTGGCTCCCCCTTGGGGCTCCCAAATGATGCCCCTGGCAGCGTTTTGTGATCATGAGAGAGTGTGAGTGTGAGCTTAACTTATCTTATCTTATCTTGAAATCTCTTCTTATCATATATTGTGTTATCTTATCTTATCTTGTAATATCTTATATTGTCTTGTCTTATCTGGTGATTATCATTGGGAGGAGGGAGGCGCGAGCGGGAGGAAGAAGGAGGAGGAGGAGTGGGAGGCGCCAGAGTAATAACAAGAACCCCAATCCTTAGGATATGGGGAAATATACCGTACTCACGCTCCCCGAGCCACTGTCCCCTGTAAATTACACCACATTCTCGCCCCTGGGGCCACGATCCCCCGTAAATTACGCCACAGTTACCCCCTGCAAATTACACCACACTCGCGCCCCCGACGCCACGATACCGTGTAAATTACGCCGCGCTCGCGCCCCAGAGGCCACGATGCCGCGTAAAATACGCCACGTTCGCGCTCCCGAGGCCACGATCCCGCGTAAATTGCGCCACGTTCGCGCCTCAGAGGCCACGATCTCATATAAGAGGCCCCAAGAGGCGCCCAAGACGCGTCCAAGAGGCCTCCAAGAAGCCCAAAAGATACCCCACGAGGCCCCAAGAAGCCCCCAAGTGGCGCCCAGCCCGCCTCCAAGAGGCCCCCGAGAGGCTCTCCACGACGACACCCCAACACATACACAAGAGGCCTCAGACCCACAACCCAGGCACGGTGGCGGGATGGGCCGAAGGCCACTAGGATCCGCCGCCCCCTGTCGATTCATCGCAGGGGTGCCTGGCGTGCTGGATCCTATCGGTTTTGGTTGTGGTTCTTTTTCCAAAAGAACTCTCCCAATGGGCTTCGGCCCGTCCACCGTGCCGCTCGCTCGGGACATCCTCAAAAAAAACCACCGTGCACAACAGATCCTCCCAAAAACGGCCGTTTCGCTCGGGACATCCTCAAAAAATCGCGAAGATGGCCCAAGATGGCACAACAAATCCTCCCAAAAACGGCCGTTTCGCTCGGGACATCCTCAAAAAATCGCGAAGATGGCCCAAGATGGCCTCCAAGTCCGCCCAAGATGGTCCAAGACGGCCTCCAAGACGGCCTAAAAGAGTCCAAGACGGCCCAAGACGGCCCAAGAGGCTCCCCAGAGGCCTCCAATACGGCCCAAGAGGCATGCAAGTCCTCCAGGAGGGCCCGAAGAGGCCAAAATAATTAATTTTCCATTGGTTTTTGAAGGATTTGGGAATTTGCTTCTTCTCGGCCTTCCGACGGCTCAAGAAGGCCCAAGTGTCCCAAAAAATCGCCCAAGAGGCCCAAGACATGGCCCCAAGAGGCCCCCAAGACGGCCCAAGAGGTCTCCAAGACGTTCAGGATGGCCTCCAAGACGGTCCAAGAGCCCTCCAAGACGTCCTCCAAGAAGGCCAAAAAGAGTCAAATGGCCTCCAGACGGCCAAGATGAACTTCAAGATGCCCACGTGTTCCCCGAAGGCTTTCCAAACCGACTCGGGGAACACATGGTCCGATAGCTTGACAGGTCTGGCCTCAACGTTCGGCCACATAGGCGCGTCCACGAAGGCAGGGGGCGGCGGTGATTCGCCGTAGGCGTCTTCGATCCGCCGCCCCTTTTGACTGATCAAAGGGGTGCCTGGCGTGCCAGACGATATGTTCTTTTTCCAAAAGACTCACCCTGGGGCTTCGGCCCGTCCCGCCGGCCACCCGGAAACTGTACAAGTCAATGCCTGTTCCGCCCCAAGATAGCCCAAGATGGTCCCAAGACGGCCAAAATGGCCCAGGATGGCCCCCAAGATGCCTCTAAGACAGCCAAGATGGCCTCCAAGACGGCCAAGATGGCCCCACGATGCATCCAAGACGGCCCAAGATGGCCCCAAGATGGTCTAAGACGGCCCACGAGGCCCGCAAGAGGCCTCCAAGACGGCCCGAGAGGCT